TGGAGCGTGCCGGCCTGGCACTGCGCCTGCGCTAGATGTGGTTCTCCCACACGGACGACGACCGCGCATGGCGAGGCCTCGACCTAGAGTTTTCCCGCGAGGAGCGCGCGTTGTTCTTTGCATCGACCATGGAGCTTGGCGATGGACAGACGGCATTGTTCTGGGATGACCGATGGCTCAACGGCCAGTCCGTGCCGGAGCTCGCGCCGGCACTCTACCAATGCATTCCCAAACGGTGACGCAAGTCGACAACGGTGGCCGCAGGCCTAGCGGGCAATGCTTGGGCTCGTGACATCCAAGGAGTGATAGGGATCCACGAGATTGGCCAATATCTCAGACTGTGGCAGGCCGTGCAGCACATCAACCTATCAAACCGGCCCGACCGAATGCTCTGGAGATGGACGGCTAGCGGCAACTACACGGCACGGTCATGCTACGCCGCAACCTTCCATGGATCCATGAAATGCCCCTCCTGGAAGCTTACCTGGAAGAGCTGGGCACCGCGCCGTGTTCATTTCTTTCACTGGTTGGCTAGCCAGGACTGGTGCTGGACGGCGGAGAGACTAGCCCGTCGTGGCCTACAGCACCATCCACGATGCCTCCTCTGTGATCAGGCCCCAGAGTCAATGTGGCACCTGCTCCTGGAATGCCCGTTTACGCGGCAGGTCTGGCACGACGTGCTGGCTTGGGCGATGATACCTTCTCAACCGCCAAGCAATGAGCCCACCCTCACGGACTGGTGGCAACCAATGAAAGGGCAGACCCCACATGCGCTACGGAAAGGCCTGCAATCTATCGCCATGCACGTCCCTTGGATGATTTGGAAACAACGCAACGAGTGCGTCTTCGACAATGCGCGCCCCTCAGTTACCACACTCATAGATAGGATTAAGGCTGAAGCCACATGTTGGGCACAAGCTGGCGCTTTGGGTCTCAGAGTAGTCCTCCCCACCAACTGGGATGTCCACTGATAGGTTGCCAATCCATGTAACCACCACCTCCTAGGAGGATTGTATCTTCTCATCTTTTCAATGAAATGAAACGCAAAGAGTCCTTTGCGTTTTCTCGAAAAAAAACCATATGACACCATATCCTCAAATATTTTTGATGCATGCTCTATCTTGCGGACTAGGCAGTATCCACCGACCAGTACACTAAATGTGACAACATTAGGCCTCTCACCTGTGTGTACCATCAGGTCAAGGATATCTCGTGCTTCTGTTACCCTTCCTTCTGTGCATAGGTTCTGCATGATTGAATGGAAGAACTTAATATCAGGAGGAGGTATACCTTTGTTCATCATTTCAGTAACCAATTCCTTTGCTTTCACCAAATCTCCATGCATACAAAAACCTTAGATTAGGGAATTATCAACAGATGCGTCCGGTGGTACCCCTGTATCAATCACCTTATTAAACTTTATCAGAGCATCATCCAACCTACCCTTTTTGCAAAATGCGTGTATTACGGTTGAATATGTGATTGCATCTGGACTCACTCCTTGTTTCTGCATTTCTTTAAATATAAGCATAGCCTTATCAAGCTTCCCAGATTTAGCATATGCATCAATCAGTATGTTGAAGATATCACAGTCAGGTAGAATACATTCTGTTGCCATTGAATTGAAGAGATTAATCATATCAACTAAACATCCTTCGGTGGCATACCCATGAAGGAGAATAGCATATGAAATGGTGTCAGGTTTCAGGCCCTTCATTGCCATTGAATCAAAAATTTCTGCAGCGTCTTTGGTTTTTCCATTCTTGCAAAGGGAGTTCATCAACAAGTTGTAAGTACACACATCTGGTGTAACACTCCGATTTTTCATTTCCTTGAATAACCTAACCATGTCCTTCTAGTGGCCTGAAGAGGAATATCCATGGATGAGGCTATTATATGTCACGTTGTCCGGTCTAACACCATTATCAACCATTTGAAGAAGGACCACCTCTGCCTTGCCCATGGCTCTGGCCTTGCACAACGCATCGATAACTGAATTATATGTCACCACATCAGGTGTAACGCCCTGCTGCACCATTTCATGGAATAGATTGCAAGCCTTGTCTACTTGGCCTTCCTTAAAGTAGCCATGGATACACAAGTTGTAAGTATACACATCTGGTGTAACACTCCGATTTTTCATTTCCTTGAATAACCTAACCATGTCCTTCTAGTGGCCCGATGAGGAATATCCATGGATGAGGCTATTATATGTCACGTTATTCGGTCCAACACCATTATCAATCATTTGATGAAGGACCACCTCTGCCTTGTTCATTGCTTTGGCCTTGCATAGCCCATCTATAACCGAGTTATATGTCACCACATCAGGCGCAACACCCTGCTGTGCCATTTCACTGAATACATACTCTGCCTTGTCCATTGCTCTGGCCTTGCACAACGCATGAATAACCGAGTTATATGTCACCACATCAGGTGTAATGCCCTGCTGCGCCATTCCATGGAACAGATTGCATGCCTTGCCTGCTTGGCCTTCCTTGAAGAAGCCATGGATGACCGTGTTATACGCCACCACGTCAGGGGTGTAGCCCAGCTCAGGCATCCTGCGAAGAAGCACTTCCATGGCCTCATCCGCCCGCTTTGCGTGGCAGAGTCCTTTGAGAAGGGTGTTGACTTCTATGACGCCTGTCTTCAGTCCCGTCCTGAGGAGACGGCCGCGGCCCAAGTCAAGTCGTAGAGGCGGCGCTGCTCATCGTCGCCGCCCGGAGGCGCACGTCCACCACCACGGCCGCGCCCGGATGCAGATGACATGAGGAGGCGAGAACGGAGAGGAGTTGGAAGAAATGCATCTATGAACGAAAACCACCGGGAATGTGCAAATCATATGCCGCGAAACGCGAGTCTAGGACCCACCCGTAGGTCTGAATGGTCAAATTTGGTCAAATAAGAGTTTTTTTTGTGAAAAAACTTTCAATCTATTCATCTTCAATCATGGCAGTACAACGAACATCAGAAATAAAAATTACATCCAGAACGAGGTTTTTTGTAACGAGGTACCAGGAATAAGTTTGCAAAGAGCCAATCAGGTCGAGAATCAGCCTACTAGCGGATCAGCCAGACAAGTACACGCACTTCCTATTGTTGATCGGCAGCAGACATCTTCGCCCAAGCAGTATACTTGGTGTAAATGAAGTCATCGTTAGGTCTCTTTTCTTCGCTGTTGTGTAAATTCCTGTGCAACAATGCAGCTGATTGGCTACTTTTGTTTTGCCCGTATTATACATTTGACATTTTCTAGCTGCTAAAAAAGAGAATTTGCATGCTTGAGATTGCGGTAATATGTTCAACAAAACCTTATAATAAACAGAAGAAAAAAATGTGACACTTGGCTGTTGTGTCCCGTCACACAAAGCACTGTCGTGCAACCGACATTACACAGCTGCAACAGTACATCGCCTCCAAACCACCAGCCTGCATCACAGATTCTACCAGGATACGAGGATGTAGAATACGAACCAGCACTGCTGCTGCACCACGTGAACCACATTAGCCAGTTCTGTTTGGAGAGAAAGCAAAACAGGGCCAGTGCTTAGCCCATAACCTGGATGCAGCTCAACAAGCATAACAAAACAGAGAAAAATAACCGATGACTGCTAAAACTGTGTCTGCAAAGCATGCCAGGTTCTTCTTCTAGATAACATTCTATACAGCACCTCCACCTAAACCACCACAAGCGGGCTCCTCCTATCCAAACAATCTGCTCTCCAAGATCCATGGCGGTGTTTATAACAGAAAAATTGGCCAACTCAATGCTCACGGATCCTGAATCTTGCAGTTCCTCCATTTCCAATACAGCAGGCAACTCTATGTCGTTCTCTAGGTGCTCGATGTCGATGACTATATCAGAAAACTCAGCTGAATGAATGCCCAAGAATCTTGGACCTAGTTGTTCCTCTCTTTCCAATATAGGAGGCAACTCTATGCCGTCCTCCAAGAATTTCATTGCATCTGTCATGAAAGGACGGTGTCTCCCATCTGGGTGAGAGCACCTGAGGCCCAGGACAATCACACGCTTCATCTGCGACTTGTCAAAGATGCCACCTAATCTGCGGTCAGCGGCATACTCCATCACCTCGGGTTCCTCTCTATACAGCTCCCATACTTGCTGTCTAGACTCTAGACTTGCCTGTGCATGCTATCTCTAGTAGAACAATTCCAAAGCTGTAGATATCGGACTTACGTGGGTCCATGTTCCCCTCTGTCCCAATATCAATTGTCACTAGTGTTGTATTGTTTTTATTGGCTGTCCTAGATAGCCCGACACCGAGCTTGGCGTTGAAATCAAAATCCAGCAGTACACTGCTCGGCTTGATATCTCCGTGCAAGGCGGTTCTATTGCATTCGTGGTGAAGATGACGAAGTGCAGACCCTATGCCCTTAATTATTTGATACCTGTGAAATAATGCAAGGAGTAAAGTGAAATGTCGAGACATACATATCAACCGATCAAAATTCCAAATAACTGTGTATGTAGCATGTACTACACAATACCTCTTTTGCCATGGTAGAATTTTCTTCCTATCGTGTAGGTGGTCCTCTAGGTTGGCATTAGGAACAAATTCAAAGACAGGAAAGAATTGAACCCTTTGTTGCCTACAACAACAAATAAAATCAACCAAGTTCCGTATGTTTCGTCTGCAGCACCAGCCTTTCAGCTCAATTAGATTTGTATGTAGCCTCATTCGACCAATTCTCCGGAGTTCAGCATAAAGTCATGAACTTCTCCTTCAGTAGTATTCTTTATTTCCTTCACAGCCACTTCTTGATAGCCATTCAAGTCTTTGTAGCTCCCTTTATATACCATGCCAAAGGCACCCAATCCAAGATGTTCAGAGAATCCGTCTGTCATGACGGTCAAATCGTTGTACTCGAATCTCGTAAGGCCGAATATATCAGAAGCAAAATTTGGCCTCTGTAAATATACGTTGAGGGACCATAATCGAATCATATTCTCTGTCTGATCCATCTTATCAATGATATCATTTATACTCGGCCTTTTGCGCCACACACTTTAAGGCTATTTCAATGCACGTCTTTACTTGTACACAATATGCCTCTGGCCCTGGCTCATGAATTGGGGGTGCTTCTAACCTAGCCCTCCAATTTCCCTGTACCTACCAACAACAAAGAATATAAAGGAAGGGTAGTAACACTAAACAGGTCAAAGTATTACTAACGTATAGCTAACATGTACAACTAATAAAAAGAGGCATTGCTTTCTTACAAGTTCAACGAATTCCTCGGAAGACATGGTAGCACATCTGGAGTGGCCCTCAGGTCCAGCCATTACCTTTATGATAACAACACCCAAGCTGTATATGTCGAACTTGTTTGAGATTACATTCTGCTCTTTGTATTCTGGTGGTAAATAACCGCTGCATGCCACATTATACATATTATAATATGTGTCTAATGCAAAGAGAATTCCATACTCAATTGACACGAAGAGTTAATAATTAAGCTTACCGTGTTCCGAATGAAGTCTTTGTGATTTTTGTCTGTTCTTCTCCAAACAGCCTTGACAGGCCAAAATCAGCTATCTTTGGTAACATATTCTCATCCAGCAATACATTGGCTGGTTTTAAATCCAGATGATATATAGGAGACTTTAAGTCCTGATGCAGGTATTTCAAACCATTGCAAATCCCCTTAATTATTCCATAACGTGTGCGCCAATCATGTCCATTAAATTCGTCTGTCGCGACAAAGAGTATTCTTTTGTTGCATAAGAATAAACCCATAACATATTAATAAATAAAATTGGAGGATGTTTGAAACAAAATTTATACGTAGAGCATCACGATATCATACCAGAAATATGACCGTGAAGGCTCCCATTGTGGGCATAGTCGAAACAGAGCGCCCTGTGTATCCTGTCAGCAACAACCGTTCTTCCTTCATACTCTGCGCACTCTGGCCGAGTTTCATGGCAATAGCCGACTAAACGCACAATATTAACGTGTTGAAGACTCGTCAGATTGTTAAACTCCCTCATAAACTGCACATCGTCAAGTGTAGGCATCTCATAGAGCAACTTCACGGCAATTTCTTCCCCATCTTTGAGCAATCCCTGTTTAAAAGTGTACCCATGAAGCTGAGCAGCACGGCAAATGAAATTGTATGCTCATGAAATGTAGTCCCTCCGTTCCTAAATATAAGTCTTTTTAGAGATTTTAATATGGACTACATACAAAGAAAAATGAATGAATCTACACTCTAAAATATGTCTATTGAAATCTCTAAAAAGACTTAATATGTAGGAACGGAAGGAGTACCTTGTAAACTCTTCCATATCCGCCGCTACCGAGTAAGTGCTCCTCGGAGAAACCATCCGTAATTTCCTTTAACTGATCGTAGGAGAATTGCCTTGTCGGCAGCGTACTTGCATGGTGAATCTTCCTCATAGAAAGAAGAACATTGATAAAAATCAATTACATGTGTACATCTTAACATCTATGCCGGTTATTTCCAAGAGCGATTTAACTGTGTGCACCTCTAAGAACAGAGTAACCGAGCTTGCAGGTGCAAATCAGATCCAAAACAATACTGTAGGAAGAGAAATCAACCTGGGGAAGAAGGATGGCGCCGTTGCTGGAGCGAACGCGGCGTTGACTCGGTTGATGCGACCTCCTCAGATGGTGATGGGGGAGGAGAGGGGAGTAAGCTGACCCGGTCAGCCGCTGCATGCACATCGTTGGCGTCGGTCCTCGCCGCCTCCGCCATGGTTGTGGAGACGAGGTGCAGATCGAGATGGGATGATGCAAGCAAGGACAGGGCAGGACTGGTTGACCTGACTCGTCTGGCGATATATGGTAAGGGGATTGGGACGGGAAGATGAGTTACCACGAGGATGACGCGCGGGCTGCGGCGTGTTGTGGTGGAGGTTGGAGGCGACGCCCCTCTGTCGTACTACTTCCGGTCTGGGTGAGAGGAGGGGGCAGCTCCAGAACTACTGGTGGGAGCTCTCCTGACGACGTAGTACTAGATACCTCCGTATCTAGACAAATTCAAAACAAATAATTCGGAACGGAGGGAGTAGGCAGGAGTATGCAATTTCTCCCGGTGATGACAACTTGCAAACTCTTGCAAGTTGCAAATACGGTCAGCTGGCAAGGACCAAAACGGTCACTCTCAAACTCTTGCAACTTGCAAATACGATGTCAGTACAGTGCTGCAACTTCTGCCGCGCAGAAACGAGTTGGCGGGAGTCCTTGGTGTTTTTTTTGTTCGGCCCCTCAGGATCTGATTCTTTCACTCATCCGCCCTCGCCCGTTCCTCTCGTCGGAACACAAGTAGTCGACCTTGGACGGGCGCTGCCGGCTGATGATCGTCGGCAGGTCCAGGCGTCCAGCGCGCGCGGAGTGTGGTTTTGTGTAGCTCAAGCTACGTGATACTCTTTATCTTAGCCATTCATTTTTGCATCATGATTCGTGAAGGCATATTTGTCATTTTTGTTTCTCTCAAACAAAACAACGTATAAACTTCAAACTTTGCAGGACAACAAAACATTCTAATTACTATGTGGGAAAAAACTTTCAGATTTTTCATGCATTTTAAATGCTAAAATTTATTTTTTTAATAAAAAAAATCCTCATTTTGTATATTTATGTTGGTCCAAAAAATCTGAAAGTTTTTTCACACATTGAAGTTGTAAATTTTGTTTGATCTGCAAAGTTTGAAGTCTATATGGTTTTTCATTTAAGAGAAACAAAAAAGAGAAACCTTCTTGCTGTAAGTTAGTTGAAGAGTACGAATCTCAAAGCAATATTGAAGGGATGAAGATAAGAGGTTCCATGTAGCCTGAGCTACAGAGAAACTTTGCCGCGCGTGAGTGGCCGAAGGCGGAGGAACAGAACTAGGTGCTATTCCCATTGCCAACTGAGAAGGTAGCACCCAGCTAGATCTCATCTTTAATAGCTTGGATGGACCTCCAGAACTGGGAGTCAGTGGAGCGAGAACAAGACTGCAAGGGTTCTATTTGTAGATATTTCGCCTCAAGTAGCTGTAGCCATAAACCTCCATCACCTCTCATAATTTGCCAGACCCATCCCAGGCACTTCGAAATGCAACACCCCATCAGCCACCCATCAGCTTGTGCTACCACGGTTACCGGATAACCATCGCCGCCTCACTGGAGCTGCGAACACGAGTGTAACACCCCTGATGTCAAGCTACAATAAACCTACACTAATGGTGCCACGTCATCACAATTAATTTTGCTAAACTTTATTTTGGTCCCAACCCAAATCAATTTCAAATTTCAAATATAAAATCCAGAATTTATTTCATCAAACACTAGGACAAAAATGCTCATAATATTGCAAATGTTCACTGAGTAATTTTCATGGTGAAACCAACCTCATTTGGATTACAAAAATGCCCCTGGAATTTAATTAAGTGGACCAACAACCATTTGTCCAACCTTTTCAATTTCTAAAAAATGCTTACCCAATTCTAATTGCCCCCAAACTTTTTGTGCCAACCCAGATTATTGCCATGTATTTTTGTGCAAAGTTGCATAGTGATAAAAAAAACTTTTACTAGCTAAACTAAATGCAAACAGTGGAGGAAATATAAAAAAAGAATGAGAAATGAGAAAACCTTACTGTGTTATTGGGCCCTAGTGGCCACAGTTTAAGGCCCAGCCTACCAAACGGCGTGGACGACCCG